GTGTGTGCGTGCGTGTGCGTGTGTGTTTTTTTTTTTTTTTTAATTCGTGTTTAAAAAGTAAGGAAAATTTTCTGAAAAAATGTGAAAAATATTTTTTTTAAAAAAATAAGTGATAAAAATGAGTAGAAGCAAGGTTGTACTTGTGATTTTCAAATCTAAGGCGAATTTTAGGTATTGGGCCTCCATATCCTAGCACACATACAAAAAAAAATTTATTAATAAGAGTTTTATGTAACTGATCAACTAAACCTATTAACTTAAAACATGTTTGATATAGATTTTTTTTGAAACATATTTTGTGAAAATTTGATTTTTTGGAAAATGTAGGAAAATACTATAAATTCACAGGTAAAATTGATTTTTTGTGGCGCTGGAGGTATTATTCGAAATGAAAGAGGTGATATTGTTATAGCCTTTGCTGAGGAACTTGGTGAGGGTACTAATAATGGAGCTGAGCTATTGGCATTATTATATGGCCTTCGACATGCTAAAAGGATGGGGATTAACTGTCTTGAAGTGAAGATAGATTCATTGATTATCGTTAATTGGTTAAGGAGGAAAGTTTGTGATATATGGTATCTAGAAGATTATCGGGAAGAGATACAATACCTGCTGTCCATAATCTCTTGTAGAATCCAACACATATATCGGGATGGTAACTCGATAGCTGATATCCTGTCGAAATTGGAGCGTCTTGTGTTTCACATATCTGGATGGACTCTATCACAATCCCATCATCAGTTAGAGGAGCTTTGCGTATGGATAAACCGAGCATCCCCAATTTTCGTGGCTTTTCTCCTCACAGTTTGTCTTTAAATCTTCCAATGTTGTTCTAAATTTGAAGTAATTTGGCTTACTTTGATATGGATGGTGTTTTGCAAATCTTATGTAACTATGGTATTCCTTCGCCACAACTAAGGGTTCATCAATAAAAGTCATTTAGTTTAAAAAAAAAAAAAATTAAAAATGAGTATGAAGAAAATTGAATTTTTAAAAATTTGTACAAAATAGAGACTTAATATTCAATAGTAAAACAACAAATAAAATATTCAATAGTAAAACAATAAATAAAAAATAATATCCAAAATATTTATATATAATTAATAATAAGACCAAGAATTATACGAATGACCACTTAAATACTACTAAATTGCAATTTATATTATAAATGAACATTAAGAACGCTATTTTCATCGTTTCTACAATATTTGATCATCTCCACAAATTATATTTAGGGATTTAATAGCTCTCATGCTGAACACGGAGCCAAGTATTACAATTTTTTTAGATACTCAAACATAATTGTGGTCTATCCATGCTTACTTGTGAATGAATTTTTAATACATGCTTGCTTTATTTTCGTGTTTATGTATATGGTTAAACATGAATTCTACTTACTTTCCAATCTTTTCAATTTTTTCTCCACAACTGATTGACAATACCTCATTCTTTGTTCTTTACCCATCTGCAGTTATTTAGGTGC